AGATTTCCTGTACTGCTTTCTAATGTTCTTAAGGAAATGTAATTTTTCTGAATGTGTTCATGAATGTGCTCAGAAATTTAGTGAAGGAGTAATTTTCAGTCGAAAATGCATTATTTTTCTTATGTAAATGTAAAATCAAGTGCTTTCGAGTTAGAGGTATAAAAGTCTGAGGTAGTTTCTTTGTGCTTTTTCCTTTCATTGACTCCTAAAGTCCTAGGTGCCTTGATCATGGCTTGCTGTGTCTAAATGCAGATAGTCCTATTTGATATGATTGTGTAAAGCCTTTCAGAAGTTGACAGCCTTTTTTCCCACATCTTTTATATTATCATTGAAATGTAAGAAGTGTCCACTAATCTCTCTGGTACTGATTGGCAAGTTTCCTCTAGCCACACTCATGTCACCCCCATATTCTCATTTTCCTTGTAGGCCATACTATCCATGAGCCAGTTACAGTTATGTTACATGCTTCTTTCTTCTGTTGAAGGGAATATCTTGGGTTTCAGTACTATTACTGGTACTATATGGCATTTATCCAGCCAAACCCCTCTCCTATCCTCTCATATTCCTCCACTACATACTTTACTATGGCCATATATTTCCCTTTTTGTGGGTAACTGCAATACCCTTTTCAACTCTGAAATTGTAATGTGTATTATGTATTTGATATATGACAATGAAATTTACTTTTTCTGTTGTTTAAAATCAAGCTCATTATATACAAGAAACCAAGGTTTGCTGTAGCAAAGCTTGAGAAATCATACCTTTTTTGTAGTGAAGGGTATAGACAAGCTGAAGGACATATTTTTTTAGTGGGTAAAGCATATCTTCATTTCTTTCATATGGTTGTATATATGACTGTAGAGAACATTTCTAAGCAGTCTAGGGAAATGTGGATTGCAATTACTGAATATTACTGTACATGTGTCAATAAGATATCTACACATTCATATCCATTCTAATAAGGGAAATAAATGCACAGGGTTCTTCATTAGATTTGATTGAGGAGTGACTAATACCTATTTATATACTATTTCTTTCACCTTGGCCTTTTTGCATCTAGATGACAAAATTGAGATCTAGTTTTTTGTCTGCTAATGTATAATGTTAATTTTGTATGTAAGAGTAGGGATAAACTTAACTTTTAATAAAACATGCTAGTGTTTACATGTTGATATCAGGACACAGTTCTTAGCAAAAGGGATTTAAAAATGTGAGTAAATATATGTTGGTTGATTGATTTATCTTTTCTAGATCTAGTTAAATCTTTTGGACTTTCTTGATAGTTGAGGATGCAGATGATTTTTATAGATTTTTGAATTTTCCTTTTTATTTCAGGATACCTACAGTCCTTACATGAATTCACTGAAGCTTCTCACAGGATTTGAGACAAAAGATGTCCAACTAACCTACATAAAAGGAACAGGTCATCACTTGGATGACCCTGACAGTCTTGATATGATTTACAAGACGATTCTCAGCATGATGAGCATTTTACAGTCCAAATTGTAACAATGCCAGGTTATAGGGTCATTTTAACAACAATGAGAAAGCAAGTTATCTGAGATTATCAGTTCTTGTTAAACCAAAGAATGCAGATATAAAGGATAAGAACAATTAAGAATTAATTGTAATTTAGCGATACCTCTTTTTGACATTAACCCAATGCCGCCAGGAAAATGTTGCGTTCACTTTACTATTATTTTGTTAAATGTTTCTGCACATAGATAGCTCTGGCAGTTCTTAGCCACAAAGGTATCAATTAGTAGATCTTGTGATCTTACCTTTCCTTGACATAGCAGGAAAACACATTTTTTTACTAATGCTATCAATATTGATACTGCAATTTTTGTTATAAACATTTTGATTAATATATTGTTATTGATATTACTAACAGCAGTATTAAATACTTGAAAATATTATCCAAAATCAAGGAAAAAGGTAAACAGTTGAGACAGGTACTTCTTACAACTGGCTTATTGATGACCTAGTACTTATGAAGCTATCTATATGTAAAAACAATTATTAAATCAAACGCAGTGGGCAGGGCATGTACGCACATGCCATTCCCGGTGGCATGCGGTTGATTGTTATTCCTTCATTTTTAATATTTTAAACTTTGGAGCAGATACTGGTGTATCATATGTAGAGAAAGTATAGATGAGATTACTTTATAGTTTTCATTTATTTATAACTTATGTTGTAAGTTCACGTGGTAACTTAATATTTAATACTACTGTTACTATGATTTTACTTAAAGATTATATTGTTAGGTAGATTTTAAGACAAACACACACACACACACACACACACACACACACACACACACACACACACACACACACACACACACACACACACACACACACACACACACACACTCACACACTCACACACTCACACACACACTCACACTCACACTCACACTCACACTCACACACACACACACACACACACACACACACACACACACCACACACACACACACACACACACACACACA